AAAGAGGCGTCTGAGCCTGCCCCCTGGTGGCAATGTGTGGTACTGCTCCTGGTGGGCGTGTCAGGATGGCCAGGAGCCCCCAAGCTGGTCACCAAAACTTGCAGAGTGACTACAGGCTAAGGATGTCTCTCTTCTGGGTCTTAGAATTCCTATCTCCAGAATCCAGAGTGTTTTTGTGGGATCCATGTTCCTCAGAGAGCTGGACAGAGGCACTTTATAAAACCATTGAGTCTTGGGACCAGCAGTTGGCATAATGGCTATGTCGCTGGACTCCCATGTAGTCGACCGCAATCCGCGTCCCAGACCCGGTGGCTTAAACTCACGCTGGGCGAGTGTGCGTGTGTGCCCAAGATCCCGAGAGAATGGAGGAGAAGGGATTGTGGTGTGGCCATCCCCCCTGGGGGGTGATTTCTCGCTTTCTGTCTCTCTGTCTCTGTCTGTCTGGCGAGCGCACGCACCCTATAGCAAAATCCATCGAGTCTATGGACAGGATTTCTCAACTGGAATCTCTTACCTCCTACATGGCTCTTAACCCTTGGCATCTGCTACCACTTATCTGCAGGAAGACATTCACATAGATGACCAAACACAAAACGCGTGTGTGCCAGGCTGCAAATGAATGTGAGCAGAGGCCGTGGGATGTGGCTTATGATATTCCGTGCCATGGACGTGACAACTCGAGTTCCCATCGTGGTCCACTCTGGCTTGTGGGGAGTGGAGTCAGCCTTTTCTGGCTTTTCCAGCAGCCCTGCATCCCTCCATATTGCATGGTGGAGGGGCTCTGAGTGACCAGGTGGCCACATAGGAGGACAGCTTGACTGCTAAGAGCCTGCCAGCCTGCTCCAGAGGTCTCTGATTCCTGGGCCGAACCTTGGGGGACATTGGGGAAAATGTCCCCCGGGGCAGGGTCAGACGGTGGGGAGACTTTCAGGAGGGTGGAGATTGAGAGAAAAGAAAATGGAACTCATGCCAGAAATGATAAAAATAGAGGTCAGAAACTTGGGGGATTTTTCTCAAGCCAGAATCCCAATCCTGATTGTCCATCTTTAAGTCTTACTGTCCACGTGTGGGTCTCTCTTACCCCTCCAGGTGCCTTTTCCTTGTCTGTGAAGGACGTCACCGCCCAGGGGGAGATGATCAAGCACTATAAGATCCGCTCCCTGGATGAAGGGGGCTATTACATCTCCCCTCGCATCACCTTCCCGTCCCTGCAGGCCCTGGTGCAGCACTATTCTGGTGAGGGGAGTGGGGGTGTCTAATGGAGGTGGGGTTGTGTGTCAGAGGAGCCCGTGTATCCTTCTATCACAGCAGCCCCAATCGTGTGGTCAGTGGTGCCACCTTGGGGGAAGGGGCTTACATTGAAGTGAACCTAAGGAGTTGGCACTTCTCAGTAGAAAGATACAGAGTCCATGGTCCTAATCCCCTCTACCGGCTCAGCAGGGGACCACTGGGAGAGTAGCAAGTGGCTCCAGTCTTAAGACACAGTGGGTCCGGTCGGTGATGGTGGTGATGGGGGTGATAACGTGGCATGCCCTGTAACACAGGAGAATGAGCCCAGTGTGTTTGCACAGAAATGCCGGGGAGGGAGCAGGGGCTGGTGGGGAGTGAGGGGGCCTGGCTAGGAAGGATATGTCTCCCAAGCGAGAATCTGGCTGCTCCGATAACCTCCAGCCCCATCTTCTCTTCCCTGGTGCAGAGAAAGGGGATGGCTTGTGCCAGAGGCTGACGGGGCCCTGTGTGGGCCTGGCTCCGCAGAACCCCTGGGCCCAGGACGAGTGGGAGATCCCCCGGCAGTCTCTCAAGCTGGTCAGGAAACTGGGGTCTGGGCAGTTTGGAGAAGTTTGGATGGGTGAGTATGTGGGAAGCTGTACCCGGAAGCCCAGAAGTGGCCCCAGATGATGGGAAGCAAGGCACTGGGCAGCACAGCCTACTTCCCCACGAAGGTGTGAGGGAGGAAGGCCAGAGGCCATGACAGCCATTTCACAGACCAGGTGATGGAGACACAGGCTGGAAGTGCGACAGTGGCTGTGGCTTATCTAGGTGGTGGAGCAGGGCTGGAACCCAGCTCTCCCGCCCCTAAGTCAGCGCCCCCTCAGTTCTCCGCCAGCACTGGCTTTGCCATGGCTGCATGGGAGCTTGGATGTCGTGCTCACTCCTCTTAGCTCCGCTCACCCCGATGGAGACCCCACGTGAAACGTGCTGAGCCACGAGCCAGCAGCTCCAGCCTGACTGTAGGAGGCCTCCCCTTCTGCTGTGTGACTTTAGCTGAGTCACCTAACTCCAGGTCCCAATGTCCTCACCTTTCAATTGCAGGTGATGACCACTACATACCAGGGCCACTGTCAGAACACCCAGCACAGGACTTTATCTTATCCCCGGACTGGTCCGTGTCTCTGGGACATGATTTTAGGATCAGAGCTTGACCCCTCCCTTCTCCTCCTGTACCCAGGGCTGATGCCTGAGTTGCCTCTAGCAGGGGTTACAGTGGGGCCCTGCCAGGCGGTGGCTCCCCTGAGAAGGGCCGGTCTTCTAGCCTTCAGCATGGATGGAGGCCTCGTGGGGTGCAGGCAAGTGGAGATACGGGTGGTTTAAGGAGTAGGAAAGAACCCCACAGGTCATAGGAGACAGGGAAGGAGCCACGGCCTCCTCTGCCTCCTTCATGACATACGACCAGTGATGTGATGAAGTTATTATGTGATAGGAGGAACTCACCGGCCAGCCAGTAGTGTGGAGATTAAGGTAACTGGAAACCACATGTTAACTGTGCAGTTCGAGTCCCAGCCACAGTGTCTTGAAAAACATTCTGGGTGCATATGGGTGCATGCCCAAGATCCTGAGAGGAGAATAGGAGAGAAGGGATTGTGACATGGCCATCCCGCATGGGGGTGGCTTTCTCTCTCTCTCTGCTTCTCTGGTGAACACATGTGCACGCTAGCAAATTAGAAAGAGATTCACTATATGGAGGTAGCGGCAGGGGTAGGGGGCAGGCGACATAAAAGACAAAGGGATGGCACCTAGACCCTGGGTGAAATCACCACCCCTCACTGTAGCGCAACTACCTGGGGCTCTCACATCCCAAGGGAGGCTGAGTCGCACTTGGCCTCCTTTCACAAGATAAGCCTGACACCTGTCCCTGCCAGCAGCTGACACTGCAGCTCTCACCACAGAATAGGGCTGGCACCCGGAAGTGCATGTAGGGCTGGCTAAGGGACCACTTCCAAGCAGTCTTCTCAACGGCGCCTTCATTCTCTCCCCTCCCTCGCTCCCCCTCGGCTCAGGTTATTACAAGAACAATGTGAAGGTGGCCATCAAGACCTTGAAGGAGGGCACCATGTCTACAGAAGCCTTCCTGGGTGAGGCCAACCTGATGAAAACGCTCCAGCACGAGCGACTGGTCCGGCTCTACGCCGTGGTCACCAAGGAGCCCATCTACATCGTCACCGAGTACATGGCCAGAGGTGACCCCTCAGGGCTGTGTCCTCTGCAGGGGGGGCAGGTCCAGGCTGAGAGGGCTGCAGGTGGGGACATCTAAGGCAGTTTGAGGCGGCAGGTGTGCCTGGCCAGGGGACCTGCTGGCCATCGTGCTGTGGCTCGAGGGCATGGCACGTGGGAATGGGGAGAGAGGGAAGAGTCTGAAGCTCTGGGGGGCTACCCAGTCCTCACAGCTGTGCTCTCAGCCCCGTCCAATCAACATCTCTGAGGGTGCCCCCTGTGCCCAGTGCCACTTGATGTCCACTTGGGAAGCTGCACATTTGGAGTTAAAAGAGCAGGGGGCTAGGCGCTGGGGTGAGTCTAGTCCAGACCCCCCAGTCCCCAGCATGGAGCCTTTTACAACTGTGCCAACGTTTTGCAGCATCCAGGACCACAGATGTTGGGCAGGTTCTTTCCTGGTCCAGGAGCAATCTCACTCCCTGCTCTGGGCAGGGGAACAGCCACACCTGGGAGAGGAGGGACCAGAGGGGTGAGTCACATTGTAGAAATGAATTGTGGCTTCTCTTTCCTTAGGAAACTTGCTGGATTTCTTGAAGACTGATGAAGGTAGCAGGTTGTCCCTCCCGAGACTGATTGACATGTCAGCCCAGGTGTGTGAACTACCAAGTGCGGAGGGAACCTGGAGCTAATAGTGCCCCGTACCCCCCCACTCCTCTGTCCCTGTGGCTTCATGACGTCAGCCAAGGGCAGTATCAGGGAGACCTTACACAACAGAAAAGTATAAATGGCAGAGCGGGCGACTCTCCTTCCTGAGGTCTCTTCCACCCGCCCTGAGTGTCACCTGTCGTCTACTGCCCACGGTGGCTGCTCACATTTTGCCATCGTGTCCTCTTCGGTCAGTAGGAAAAGTCAAAGGAGACAAAAACTCACCTTCCTCTGTTTAGGAACATGTCCCCAAAGTCACCCACTACTCTTGCTCTTCTACCTCCTGGCCACCTGTCACAGAGCTAAGGCAGCTAGCTACAAGGGATCCTGGGAAATGTAGTCTTACTTTTGGGCAGTAATGCTGGAATGAAGTGGGTTCTATTGAGAAGGAGGAAGGGCCAATAGATGTTTGAGGAAACCCAGAGAGCGAGGGCTTGGTTTGACATGGTAGGCGAGTGTGCTTTTTCTGTGACCTCATTTCTTCTTGGATGGTCCCATCAATGCCCTCTGTAGTAGGCGACTCTGAAGACACTGCTCCCATCCCAGGAACACTAGGTCCTAGTGCAGTCCTAGGCGTAACCTCAGGCTGACGGACAGGCGTGAGCCACACACAAATGCTGGGGACGTTTGATCTCTGAGCCCCAAGAACCCTCCACATCTGCCATTAGAGATGCCCCGGACGGGTCTTCAGTATCCCTTTGGTCTGTTCACACATGGAACTTTCCAAACTCTGTGAAGCGAAAAGTAGAATAAAGAAGAGGGAACTTTGGCCCCTGGGGATTTTAGCTGAGGGTTGTTAACTGGCAGGAAAGCGCATCTGGTGGTCCTGTGTGTGTTTGTGTGTTAAAACTGGAGCTGTCAGCAGAAAAGCTTTGGTCTGTGGTCAGCCTGTGAGACATGAGCGCACACGCACATCCGGCAGAGAGAGAAACCCTTCCCGCCCACCAGCGCTCGCCAGCCCTCTCCAGCCTGCCTGGAGTTATCTGCTGCTGGTATCGGTGCAGGAACTGATGTCATGTGACCTTTTCCACTGCGGTGAACACAGACCACTCTGAGTGAGCTGGCGAGCTGGCTACGGAAAATTCATGCTGACTGCTTCCGAAGCACATGGCAGGGATGAAACTGCCCACTCCTTTTTCCTTCTCCTTCCCTCACTCTCCTCTGTCTCTTACCCTGTCCCTGCTACACCCCTCAGGAAATCTTGGGTCACTGGGACAAAGGATGTAAAAAGCCATCTGATAACCAGATGTTTAAAAAAAAAAAAAAGTCTAGGGGTGAGAAAATCAGAATATTGGGCCAGCAGGTGGCATGGAGATTAAGGCAGCTGAATGGCACATAGCTGACTCCGCAGTTCAAGTCCCAGACCTGGCGGCTTGAAAATCACTCCAGGTGCATGTGCATGTGTGCCCAAAATCTCTCTTCCAGAGGAGACTGGGAGAAAAGAGATTGCAGTGTGGCCATTCCCCCAGAGGGTGATTTCTCACCTTCCCTCCCTCTGTCTCTGTCTGTGTCTCTGTCCAGCAAGTGCTCACACCCTATAGCAAAAACTAAAAGAGAAGGAAAATGAGAAAATCTGAACATCCCAGATGAACAGCTTCTGGACCACGTTCTAATCATGCTAATAACTCATAGCGTGCACACACACACATGCACACACTTCCAAATGTGCACTAACTTAACCCCCCGCCCCCACGCCCTACTCCGTGGTCCCGGTGGCCCAACACCTTGTCACACCTCTGTCTCCTTTACCCAAAATGCCCTGACTCTTCTCACCTGGCTGGGTCCCAATCAGCACCCAGGATGAGTGGGTTTCTATTAAGGTTTCCCTGGAAGCTGCCAGAGAGCCCTGGGCACATCACACCCCACAGTGCCTTCTCCTTGAAGGTGGATCGAGGCTCTCCTCAGTGTTTGCACATTGTCTATTGTTGTATTTCAACATTGCTCATTAAACACATCAATGGGCCGGGGACTGTTACATGCTGCCCAGATACAAACTCTGTTTTAGTTGAATGATTTAGTGAGGGAATAAATAAATGAATGAACCAGTGAATGGATTCATGAATAAACCCCTGTCAGTGGAGATGCACAGAGAAGTGGGTTCAATTCCAGGGCTGGCTTCTTGCAGTAGCAGGTCGGAGTAGGAAACTGGTTCTCTATTTCTGCCTCAGTTTCTTCATCTAGTGATTGGGTGAATAAAGCCTTAGGTAATTTCCTCAGCTAAAAGGCCCCGAGCAGCACAGACACCTATTCCCTGCCCAGGGCGGGTGACCTGGGGACAGAGGTGAGGCCCTTCTCCTTTGACTGGGTTCTGGTCACGCTCTCTGAGTGCCGCCATGGTGCAGGTATTGACTTAGGCCCTTGGCCACAAGTCCTTCACTTAAGGCTCCTCAACTCTATGTCGGGGAGACCGCTCCCCTCATGTCCCAGGTCAGGACTGAGCCCCCTCAAGGAGGTTAAGCAACTTGCTGGAGGCCAGTGGTTCCAATCCAGGCTTCGACTCAGAGCAGTGCTTGCCGACTGAGGAGAGGAAACCCTTCCCCTTCCCTCCTGCTTTCCTCTCTCCTTCCTGTCTTTCATTTTCTCTTCTCTCCCTGGCAAGAGATTTCTCTTTTCTCCTGCCTTTGTTCTGTCATCATCCTTCCCTGAAGACTCTTGGGGACAGCCGCCTGGAAGGGGAGGGGGACAGGTGAGGGGTGTAGGTAGCCTGGTGTCTCTGCTGAAGACATCTCTGCCGTTCTGGGATCCTAGGGGGCTGGGGTTTATTCAGTCGAAGAGCCATAGAAGCCATCTTCCTATTCCACCCAAGAATACATCCCATTCCCAGCTGCAGCACACCCCCCCATGCTCCCACCCATATCCCTCACCCCCCCCCCAAGCAAACCTAGAACAGCTCCACTCCAGCCCTCCTTCCCCTCACGGCCTTGCCAGTTCTGCAGACAGGTGGGCGGGCGAGGGTGGGGCTGGGTTCTTACCCTCGTCGAAGGGACAGGGCAGAGTGGGGGTGGCTGGGAGGCCCCCATCCTTGCATGTGGCCTGTCCCCTCAGATTGCCGAAGGGATGGCATACATCGAGCACATGAACTCCATCCACCGCGACCTGCGGGCGGCCAACATCCTGGTGTCTGACACTTTGTGCTGCAAAATCTCCGACTTTGGCTTGGCCCGGATCGTGGACAGTGAATACACCGCCCAAGAGGGTGAGCAGAGACCCCGCCCACAAGGGGGACCTGGGCCCCAACCTTCCCTGACTTCCCCTAGCCCCCATGCCCATCTCCTTGATGCCACATAGCAGAGTCCTGCCTGGAGACCTCTGCGGTCTCTCCAGGTCTGGCCTCCCCCACAGCAAGGCTTCCTCACCTCCCTAAGCGTGTCCTGCAGAATGGCAGTGCCACAAGGCCCCCCACTGAGGACAGGGTGGTGGTGAGGAACTGGGGGGCAGGGAGAGGCCGACCAGGGCTTCATGCAGCAGCAAGAGCCGGGCTCCTCACAGGACCGAGGAGTGCAAGGCCAAGTGTCACCATTCCCATGTTGCAGGAAAGGTCCATCTGAGGCACGGACAAGCTAAATGGCGTGCCCACACCCTGGTGTGAGACAGGCCCATGTAGAAAGGGACCCCCTCTCTGTCCCAGATGGAGTCATGTTGCCCAGTGGGGCCCGCTTGCTCTTTTAAAGCCCAAAGAGGGTGACAGAGAGTGGCATCCGTTTGTGTCCACACTGTCCTTCTGTGCTGCAGACCCGTGTCTGCAGTTACCTGGTCACGTGTCCTTGTATGTCTTGGTGACCCCCCAGGTGTGTCTTGGTAATGTCCAGCAACCAAGCCCTGCCGGGGTCCAGCAGAGGGGGCAGGAGGCCAGGGCAAGAGGCCAGGGCAGCCAGGCACGGCCTCAGGAAGCTGCTTGGGCTCTTCTGCAGGGGCCAAGTTCCCCATCAAGTGGACTGCCCCGGAAGCCATCCACTTCGGGGTGTTCACCATCAAAGCAGACGTGTGGTCATTCGGAATCCTCCTGATGGAGATCGTCACTTACGGCCGGGTGCCATACCCAGGTAGGCAGCTGGGCCCTGAGCTCTCCGTTACTCCCTGCCTTCCTGACGGCAGACACTGGGTCCTTGGTGCTTGGGGCTGCAGCATACTCGTCAGAATGGGATCCGGACAGAGGACAGAGACCCAAGTGTGCCATTCTGGGGACCGGGTTCTGCCGGACATTGCTTCAGGCCACTGGGCTGTGTCCCATTCCTGACTTCCCAGACTTGGGCAGCTTCCGTGTCTGAAGTATCCAGGTTCCCTGGGTCATCCAGGTGAGCGTTTCCAGGGAGCACCTGCCCAGTGAGCCATGAGCTTCAGCCAGGTCCAGCCAATCACAGATAAGGGAGATAGGGTTCCCCCCACCCCCATGATCTGCCCCGCTGGCAGAAATCTACAGGCTCATTTCCAGCTGTTCTCCAGCAATGGAAAGCACATAAAGGGATGTACCAGGAGGCCAGCGAGGGTGGGGGCAGTGTTCTGTGCATACTCTCTCCCTTTTCCCGGGCCCAGTGTCCCTCGTAGGCCACACTGCCCCCTCGGGGCTCCCGCATCCCGCTGTGCCCGCTCTGCCTGCAGGGATGAGCAACCCCGAGGTCATCCGCAGCCTGGAGCGGGGCTACCGCATGCCGCGCCCCGACACGTGCCCGCCGGAGCTGTACCGCGGCGTCATTGCAGAGTGCTGGCGGAGCCGGCCGGAGGAGCGGCCCACCTTCGAGTTCCTGCAGTCGGTGCTGGAGGACTTCTACACCGCCACCGAGCAGCAGTACGAACTGCAGCCCTAGGGCCCGGCGCCCGCGCAAGGAAGGGTGGGGTCGCACCTGCCGCACACCTGGCAGAGAAGGATGGAACTGGAGAGATCCAGCCCCGACAAGCTGCAGAGGCAGAGGGGCAGGGGGACTAAGGAAGCAGAGGTTAGAGGTGGGTCAACGGGTGGACTCTGGCGGGGCAGAGTTGCAGTCCCCGCCTCAGCGGGCTGTGTGCCGCTGGCCAGTTACTCAGCCTCTCTGTGTCCCCACTTCCTCATTCACTGAAGCCAGAAGGACCGTGGGAATACCTACCTCCTACGTTCATCTTGGGGCCTAAATTAATTACACGCGGCAGGTGTTCAGAGCAGTGCCTAGCGCTCTTTTAGTTTTGATGTTTTTGCTATAGGGCATGTGCGCTCACCAAAGAGAGACAGGCGGACAGAAGGAAAGTGAGAAAGCACCCCTGAGGGGTGGTGGCCCTAGGCAATCCCTCCTCCACCCTCCTCTCCAGATGTTAGGCACACACACACTCTTGCCTGGCCGAGGTCTGGCCCAGTCCGCCATGTGGGATCCAGCTGCCGTGACCACGGCCACCTGCTGGCCCACGGCCACCCTTAAGTGATGCCAAGCTCCAAGTCATCCTCAGTGACTGGGGCGCCAGCTGATCTGACCTGTGGGGACCTCGCCTCCAGCTGCTCCCTTCTGCTACCCCAGAAGCAGGACTGGGTCCTCCAGGGGGGTTGTTCTAGGAGCACCGCGTGACGCAAACTGTGCTGGAGCACTTTGGGGCTTTTTCGTAATAAAGTCTCGAGAGTCTGACCTTTCCCGTGTCGTTATTAGTAACAGGCTTGACATCGCAAACGTCCCATACACGTATACGTGAGTGGCGCGATTAGGAGGCTGTAGTGGCATAAGCTTTTGTGTGGAAACCAAGCCCGGAGGCCCAGGGTCACGGTTCGGACTCCGCCCTTACTGTTTTACAGGGCAGGCTGGAGCACGGCCAGCAGGTGGCGCCTTGGCTTCACGAATCCCGTGGGTTTGCGTCAATCTTTCGCTCACCCAAACCCCAGAAGGAACACGGGAGCCAGCGTTCTGGGCGGGGCTTGCAAAGACTGAGGCCAGCTCCGTGGGCTCGGTGTCTCCCAAAACCAGGCCAATACGCAGTGAAAGGTGACGAAGGGACGATCACACCAGGATAGCCAGAGCCTCCCCGCTGTGCACCCAAGCTGGCCCAGGGGTCATGTTTCTTCTTTTGTTTCTCTTCTAAGCAGTTTAGATTTACAATAAGGAGAAAGTATGCAGAGTCCCACATTCCCTCCACCCTCCACTCCAATCCCCCTTTTATTAACTCGCAATGATGCGGGACATTTGTTCAGCTGTTGAACCAATGTTGACATATTTTTTTAAAGAATTATTTATTTATTTGTTTATTTATTTATTTATTTATGAGTTGTTGTGATAGGGCATGTGCAATTGCCAGAGAGAGACAGAGAAAGAAACTGAGAAACCCCCCACCAGGGAGGAGGGCCATGCCACAATCCTCCCTTCTCCTCTACTCTCCTCTTGGGATTTTGGGCATGCACTTACATGCGCATGGCATGAGTTTCAAGACACAGGATCCGGGGCTTGAACCTCAGTCAGCCACATGGGAGTCCAGCACCTAAACCTCTAGGTCACTTGCTGGCCCCTATTACTATTTTTTAAAATTTGACCAGAGAGAGCAAAGGAGAGAGAGAGGAGAGAGGGAGGAAGGGAGGGAAGGAGAGTGAGAAAGCAAGTTGCCAGGTTCAGGACTTGAACCGCGGTTGGCCACGTAGGAGTTCAGTGCCTTAACCACGATGCCACCTGTCTGCTCTTAATGTCATCTCCACACAGGCTTTCCATTCATCCTTTCTTCTTTTGAGTTTACACTTTAGTCTTAGTCTCCTAACTTTTTGTTCTTTTTTTTTTTGACAAAAGTATGATGGCATAGGCCCGCCATTACAGTATTCCACAGCGTAATTTTACTGCCCCCCGACCAACACTCCACTTATTCACCTCCCTTTCTTGCCCTTGAGCTGCTAGTAACCAACTTGTCATGACTCCTCCAACCCTGCAAATACCCCACGAAGGAGGATGATCACCACCCCTGTACAAGGAGGGAAACCGAGGCACCGAGAGCTGACACACGCACCACTTGCGTGCAGCAGGACAAGGCCCTGGGCCTGAGCAGAGCTGCACAACCAAGGCTGCAGGGGACGGGTGGGAGGGGCTGTGGGAGACACCCCCACCCCCACCCCCCACTGACACGTTTGCAGACCCTTTGCTATTCGCTTTCTCCAGCAGGGAAGTCAGGCGACATCATTTTAGTTGTTCTGTAGAAACAGATGAAGACGCTGGCGAGACCCCACACCACCTGCTTCTCTCCTAGCTGGTCGGTGCTGGACCTGGGGTTTGAGCCCATTCCTGGCCCTCACATCCTACCCTGGGATCGCTTAGGAAAGCTCAAGTATCCAGATTTGGCCTTAAACCTACTGGATCAGAATCTCCGAGGGAGAGGCTGGGGAACCACAGCTGGCCAGGTAACAGGTGACCGCCGTGTAGAGTGGAGCACTCGGGAGCTGGGTGATGAGGCTCTGCAGAGGGCTCGGGCTGCTGAGGAGTTCCCAGGGGGAAGCGCAGGCAGGGGCTGTGGTTTGATCTCCTTCAATCAGCTGAGATACTGGAGGTAGGGCCCTAGAGCCCTGGCAGCCTGCTCCCCTCCTCCAGGCCTCCCGCTATCCTCTGAAGGGACGTCCCAGGACTTGGGCCCCTGGCCTGACCAGATTCCCATGCACTACACGGCCTGGGCTGGCTTATCACCCCCTGGATCCCACTGCCTTCCCCTAAAGATGAGCAAGGTCACCCAGTGCTTCCCCATCACCCTGGTTTTTATTTAAAAATTCAGGTTCTTCAACCTGCAGAAGCTAGAAACCATGAGACCAGCACATTGCAAGAAGCCTAATCGCACACAATCTCATGCAAAGCACAAAGGTGCCTTCCTTTCCCTTCCTAGGTTTTCCCAGGGAAGGTGAGGCAGAAGCCAAATCTTGAAGGCTAAATAAGAGCTTCGCCACTAGGAGGCGCACCTGACCAAGAGGTGCTTAGATCTGGGCCAGTTTCCGTGTGTGTGTGTGTGTGTGTGTGTGTGTGTGTGTGCATTCGTGCTTGTGTGTGTGCTGTGTTGTGTTGTTTGCTATAGTGCACCCGTGCTCACCAGGGTGAAGGAATGTGAGAGAGCACCTCCCAGGGAGGATGGCACCACAAACCCTTCTTTCTCCTCTAGGGACTTCGGGCATGCTGGGCATCTTTTTCAAGCCACCACGTCCGGGACTCAAAATCGTGCTGTCAGCCTTGTGGGATCCAGCCACCTTAACCACTGTGCCACCTGGCTGGCCCTTCTGGTGTCCTTTTGTTCATCATGAATACATCCTCTGCCAGAAGGGAAGTGGAACAGTGTGTGAGAAGAGAGGGTGGGAGAGGAACGAATGGGCAGACTCACTTCCTGCCCTGAGAACTTGTCTTCCTAGTGGGAAGGGAGGTTCTTCACGGCCCTCCCAACACTCAACCGCACTGGGAGGTTCTGGCAAGGGGCCTATTCCTGAGGCACCTGCTGGGAACATATGCTGTCTGTCCCCTCAGACAGGCTCTGGTGAGGGGTGCTACCCTGGCCTTATGACCCCAGACCCATTTGCCACCATGGAGACTGTGCTTGCCTTTCTTCACCCCGGGAACCGGGGCACACTCATGGCCTTCTTATGATATGAAAACAGCAAGGTCCAGGTGTCAGGTGGCCCTAGGTTCAAATTCAAACCTTCTTCTCCCAGGACGTGTGACCTTAGACACTGCTTAACTTCTCTGAGCCGTCATTTCCTCATCCGTGAAATGGGCACAATGATAACGCCTACATTCCAGGCATGCTGGGAGGCTACGCAGAATAGTCATGTCTTCTAATAAATGCTTGGTAATGTTAGCTCTTATTATTATTATTATAGCTTCCAAAGAAAGGCCTTCAACGACCTGGCCCAAGCCTGGTGGAAGCATCCAGCAGTGTTCTCTATTGTGATGGTGATTCTTGGTCTTTTTTCATGCCCTTCCTGCCCTTGGGCTGAACTACAAGAGTTCACGGGTTTGAAGGTAACGACCTAGTTTGCCCTATACCTTCTAACTATGCAACTTTGGGCTGGCAGCTCAATTTCTCTAAGCCTGTTTCCTCACCTATAAACAACCTTGCAGGACTGTTTAAAAACACTTAGAGAATACTTTGGAATAGCATGTTATTGGGTCGTCGTAAAAGTCATGATGTATTTTTCTATGCAAACTTTTCCAACGACCTAGTAGCTTGCTAGTGCTAGCAAAATGAATACCAGAAACTAAGTGGCTTCAGCAACAGAAGTTTATCTCCCCACGGTTCTGGAGCCTGAAAGTCTGAAGTCAAGGTGTGGCAGGGTTGGTGCTTGGACTTGAAGAAGGCCGCCTTCTCCCTGGGTCCTCCCTCTGTGGGTCTGTGTCCTAATCTCCTCATAAGGACACCAGTCATACTGGATCAGATAACCTCATCCTCACTGAGTTACCCCTCAAAGACCTTATCTCCAAAGACAGTGACATTCTGAGGTACTGGGGGAGGGGCCGAGGCCTTAACATATGAATAGAACGATTGGAACACACTTCACCCTTGACAAACAGTGACACAGACTAAATACAATAGTTATCTCTACTAAGCCTGCCCAGCGGAGGCACGTGGTGGGGTGGATGTGTTCTCATGAGGAAGGCACTAATTTCAAAAAACAAAGCATACTTGGAGTGAATAAACTTTCCATCTACCAACAAGGACAATCCAGAGCTAAACCAGAATACCAGTGGGCCAGGTTTAAGAGATTTAAATATAAAAATCCAGATCTACACAGAATATGAACCTGTCTTTAGTCTTTAATTTTATATATCTATAGCATATATATTGTATGACATATGGTGTATTGTATATGTATATAGCATACATAATATATAATATGACATATGCTATATTATAATTACAATACATAGTGTGTGTATGTATGTGTGTGTGTGTATGTATACATATATACACACTTAGTTTGCTGTAGGGCACATGCACTCACTAGAAAGGACAGAGAGAGTGAAGAGAGAAAGGAAATGTGAGAAATCACCCCCCAGGAAGATGGCTACATTACAACCTCTCCTCCATTCTCCTCTTGGGATTTGGGCATGCATGCACATGTACCTGGCATGACTTTCAAGCCTCCGGGTCCAGGACTCAAACCACACAGTTGGCACCTGTGGGATCCAGCCACCTTAACGCCCAAGCCACCTGCCAGACCAATAATATATTTTATAGAAGTTTCTACTACCCTAGTCCTTTAGGTATTAAAAAACTAAGAATCAAGTTTCTCCGGATCATATGGTATCCCCTCTCCATTTTCAGTTTTAAATTGTGATAAAATATGCGTAATATATGATGTACTATCTTAACATCCTTTAAGGGGACAGTTTGGTACTGTTACGTGCACTTACGTTGTGCTCTGTCACCACCACCCAGCTACAGGGCGCTTCCCATCATGCCAAGCTGAAACTCTGCACCCAGTAAGCTCTGACTCCCCTTTCCACCCTCCCTACAAACTCTATGAATTTGCTGTCTCTGGGAACCTCATAGAAGTGAAGTCATACAGTATGTGTCCTTGTGACTGGTTTATGTCACTGAGCATAACCTCAAGGTTCACACATGTTGTAGCATGGACCAGAATTTCCTTTTTTTTTTTTAAGGTTTTTTTTGCCATAAG